GTTACATATTTTCATTCAACAGTAGTTCTCTGAACCAAATACTGAATTAGAAATTGATAAAATGGACACAAATGTATCGTTCTTCTTCTTGGTTGCGGCAAGATAAACTGATTGGATTAAAATTTCAATGAGTACCAAAAGCTGGGCCAAGACGATTTATGTGGTTACAATTAACAGAAAAAAACGATTTTAAATTTTTTTCACAGATTCAACTTGATCGTCGTTTTATTCCTTCTGTTATTCATATCCCATCAAGAGAAAAATTTATAAAAATGGCTGAAGTTTTACCCCGTGCACCAAACAACTATTTTATCATTGGTTAGAGTCGCCTAAACGCGGGGAAATTTACAATAGCTATTGGCTAACAGTACGCATAAACAATCTTATTTGCATATTGCATACTATTTATAGTATTATTAGCTGGAATTATTTTCAAGTCGACAGCCTCAAAGACCAACATAGTACCGTGTTTTGTGTCGAGTAGGGTAGCATGCAGATATAGCAGACGATATCAACCTCGCAAAGAACTGTCCAGTCGGCAGTTGAATGTAAATAGGATAGACCATTTAAATCTTCTGTGTTAATAGTCCCGTAATTAATATATAACATCTGTTTGACCGTAAAATGCGTAATAAACTTGACTTAATTCTAGTTCGGGCCATCCACTTGTTTCCTCAATTGCAAACGGCACGTTACGGGTCTGGTAAACTTGTATTTTTCCTATATCGAAGTTTTTGTAAATATCGCTTTCTGGCATCGGTCGGTAAACCTTACACGTATATAGAAATAGCGTTCAGTTCCATTTTATGTAAAAGAAGCTTACTGTACGACGGTATTTTCACAAAAAAACACACACTGGCCTATGGTTTTCAGTCTACGAATAAGGCCAGGGTCTGCGCATGACCGAAAATGACGTCAAAAGGGAAACCCGTAAAAGCTCTTATATGCAATCCCGTATCACGGCTTACACAAGAACAAGTCATACACAGGAGAGGCAGAATAAAACTTGTAATGCATGTTTATTACCCAAAGATCTTGGTTCCTTTCGATATTCGTGCATATCTGACCGCCACTTCCTGAATTATGGCCCCTGGTTGTACGAAAAATCGCATTTTTTGGTTGTGGTTTCTCTAAAAAAAAAAAACGTCCGAATATATCACCGTTACACCGTAATGTTGGTTGAGTTCGAATTTCGTGAAAATCGGACCAAAACTGACGGACAAAATGGCCGCCCCTCGTACGCAAATGGTGTAATCATATGGTATATCAAGGTTGTGGACCCTCTAGAGGTCACAATTTTGATCCGATTTTGATGAAACTTTAAAAATACAGGTTTATAACCCAAATATCCTGGTTCCTATCGATATTCACGCATATCGAACCATAGCTGCCTGTATTATGGCCCCTGATTGTACGAAAAATTACGTTTTTAGCTTGTGGACCCTCTAGAAGTCACTATTTTTATCAGATTTTGATGAAACTTAAAATATATCTTTATATCCCATATATCTCAGTCCATTTCAATATTTGCACATTTCAGATCATAACTACCTGGATTATGGCCCCTGATTGTAAGGAAAATCGCCTCCTCTTTTTTTTAGCTTGTTCTCTATCCATCTCTTGCAAAATGTTGGCGTATCCTGCCTGGCAGCCGCTGATTAATCTATTTTCTGCTTTCTTTATTATATCTGTGCTCGTATTTTTTTATTTTGTATTTTGTTTGTAGGAAGTTGCTAGTTGTGGGTAACATTCAACTTTGGTCCTAGTCCCCCCCCCCCCCCCCAAGAACTAACTATCTCACACTTTGGTTTTCATTCAATTTAATTTTCAGAGCGAGTTGAGTATCTGGCCAATACCAAGATATCATTGGCAGTAGAAACTTAAAACTAGTCTGTCCAAATCAATTATTGTCCGAATAACAGATCATACAAATTTAGTTCCAAATTAGCCCATTTTTTTTCCAACTTGCCAGGTTGGTATCAACTGAATCGACCTAATATTTTAGGGAATGTATCTGGGTACTAACTCATCTCACAGAAAAAAGTTTGGTCCAGATCCCCAACCCAACGGTTATAACCCTCTGCATGGTGCTCTCGCAACTGATTTAAGTATATATAAATATTGTGGTGTAATTGTCGAGATATTTATGGTGGGGCACCCTATTGTTAGGTCATTGATGGGAGTTCGAAGATGAGCATTTTCTGCTTAGGGCAAGCAGAGATATTCAATTTGATTGATTGATGTTTAGGGACACGATAACTTCTGTTCTAATTAAGTGAGAGTGATGAAACTTGGTGTATAGCTTCATCACATCAATACCTTGACTAAGTTTGATTATGAGAGAATTTTTTGGCTCAGGGTAAGCAAAGCAATAAGCAATTTGATTAGTCGAGACTTTAGAGCCCGACAACTTCGATTCTAATTGAGTGATAGTGGTGAAACTTCGTGTATAGTTTTATTACATCAATACCTTAACAAGGATCGATGCTGAGCATTTTCTGCTTAGGCAAAGTAAAGACTTCAATCTGATTGGTCGAAACTTTGGAACAGAATAACTCTCCTAATTGAGGTAGAATGTTCAAATTTGGTGTAGGTGTCGATTACGTGCATGCCTTGGCATGGTGCGTTCATGCGCATTTTCCACTAAGGCTGAGCAGAGTTGAACAATTTGATTGGTCGAGGCTTTGGAACACAATAACTTTGGTTCTAACTGGGTGAGAGGGATGAAACTCTTGAGTATAGATTCATTATATCAATACATTGACTAAGTTCGATGATGAGAATTTTCTGCTTAGCCTAAGAAGCGATAAGCAATTTGATTGGCAAGACTTAGGAACATAACAGTTCTGCTTTTAATTGAGGTATAGATATTCATTAGGCGAATGTCTTGACTGATTTATATTTCCCATTAAAGCTAAGCAGAGCTAAGCAATTTCTTTGGTTGATGCTTTGGGATAAGATAACTTTGATTTTAATTGGTGGTTAGCGTATAGTTTCACTCACTACCAGGTACTTCAAAACCTGAGTTTGATAATAAACATTTTATGCTTAGATACAATCGAAATTTTAAGAAATACTGCAATTCGATTGGCTGACCAGTAAAATCCAATTTGCATATTGGTCAGCCAATCGAATTGCAGTATTTCTTAAAATTTTGATTGTATCTTAGTTTAAGTTTTCGTGAATAAGGGCCCCCCGGGTACTTCAAAACCTGAGTTTGATAATAAAGATTTTATGCTTAGACTAAGCATAGACAATCAGTTTGATTACTCGATACTTTTGAAAAAGATAAATGTGCAATTAATTAATGTGTCATCTGGTTGGTTTTTTTTTTGGTTTTTTTTTGGACATCGGCCTTACTGTTGGCTTGTTCAAAGTTATCAAGGGCAGTAACTCTGGTACAAATTGTAAAAAAATGGGTGAAAATCACTAGGTTTCTTCATCTCGACTTGAGACCTTAAATACTGTATAAAGTTAATTTCCTAGTACCAGATGATGCCGTAAGATCACATGGTCTTCCATCCACCCACCCAAGATTTGTAGTACTTTATTTTTGCCCCCGCCTTTCGAAGAAAGTAGGGACTATTAAAATGGGTCCGTCCGTCTGTCTGTCACACTTTTTGGGACACAATAACTCTCTAATTGAGCTAGAATGTTCAAACTTGGTGTAGGTGTTGATTAGGCAAATGCCTTGATGGAGTTCGAAGATGAGCATTTCCTGCTTAGGGTAAGCAGAGATAAGCAATTTGATTGGTTGATGCTTTGGGACACGATAACTTTAGTTCTCATTAAGTGAGAGTGATGAAACTTGGTGTATAGTTTCATTACATCATAACCTTGACTAAGTTCGATAATGAGCATTTTCTGCTCAGGGGAAGCAGAGCGATAAGCAATTTGATTGGCCGAGACTTTGGAACACAATAACTTTGTGTAGGTGCTTATTAGGCAAATGCCTTGATGGATTTCGAAGATAAGCAATTTGATTGGTTGATGCTTTGGGACACATAACTTTAGTTCTAATTAAGTGAGAGTGATGAAATTTGGTGTATAGATTTATTACATCAATACTTTCACTCTATTTCACAGAGGATTACGAAAGTCTTTTAATATCTCTGTAAAAGATGACTACCTTTAACACGTGACATCTCATCACGCGGCGTCAATCATTGGCTCAATGGCGCGTGCATTGTTTACATAAGACGCTCTAGTTCGGGCAGAATGGCGCCTTTTACTCATTTTATTACCCATTTGCACTAAATAGAAACTAATTTTTACCTACAAATACGTCAAACGCCTTTATTTTTCTAATACATAAAAAAAAATGTTTTAGAATTTAATTTGTTGCAGGAAAAAAGTTAATATTTCTGGCTCATTAAGTCACATCGATGTCATCCTTATCAGTGATTGTAGGGGCCTAGCAAAAATTCACTGCTGATCAGTGTGCAATACTTTGTGACTAAGTTTGATAATGAGCATTTTCTAATAAACAGAGATAAGCAATCTGATCGGGGCGAATAACTTTGGTTTTAATTAAGTGAGAGTGATGAAACTCCAAGTATAGATCCATTATATCATTACCTTGACTAAGTTTGATGATGAGAATTTTCTGCTTAGGCTAAGGATCGATAAGCAATTTGATTGGTCAAGACTTTGGAACATAACAACTCTGATTTTAATTGAGGTAGAATGTTTAATCTTGATGTTGATGTTCAATGATTAACATTTGGAGCTAAAGTTAAACAGAGCTAAGCAATTTCATTGGTCGATGCTTTGGGACAAGATAACTTTGATTCTATCTGATAGAGAGTGATGTAACTTAGTGTATAGTTGATAATCAGTTTGATTGCTTGATACTTTTGAAAAGAATAATTGTGCGATTAGTTAGTATGTGTCATCTATTTATTTTTGGGATTTCGGCGGAGGGATATCAGCCTCACTGTTGCCTTGTTCCACATTAATGTGGCTCCATAAGACAATAAAAAAGAGTTCAAACACAGGAATAATTAATGTGTATATTTAATGAATACATGTAGAATATGAAACAATAACAGAGTACAATAAAATTAATTTCTTAATTATTATGGTCATAAAAAAAAATCAAACTACAGTACTCTTGTATTTTATACGGTACTCCTTGCATTATTCACAAAAGGCATTCCTTGCAATATTGAACCCAAATTTAAAATTTGGACATATGAAAATATTGTTTAACCATGTGGTGATAACCAAAAACAAACTTCTTCAAAAGACATAAAGGAGCTATAATATCTTTGATTTAGGTGGAAGTGTTGGGTTGGTTTTACCCGATGTGTTACCTAAATGTAAATTAGTTATCATGCGAAAAGCTGCATACAATGAAATTTTTGTTTATTTATGATTAAGCTGAGGTCAGACCGTCAGGTATATTTGTAGACCTGAAATTTTAAATTTAGACAAACTCATCAACGCATCAAATAATTAAAAACACAACTTTCAAAGATCGGTTGCCAGGCAACGAAACATACGCCCACAGCAGCTATATCGTCCGGGCAGTCAACAAGAGTTGTAGCATATTTTTACTTTTTTCGGTAATGAAACATTTATAATACATTAAAATCTAATTAAGAGTAACAGCTCATTAGAATTTGTTCTGCCCCATGCTAACGTTTAGTATACGAAACTTTAGCTGTTCAAGTCATAAAGATTCATTGAAAATCAATATACTTGTTCATCTCAAGACCTTAAACTCTGTGTATCAATCGGATATTAACTTTAGCCTCTAGAGCGTCCACAAGATTTTTCAACGTGATCAAGGGCCATAACTCTGGCAAAAATTATCGGAAATCGCTGAAAATCAATAGGCTTCTTCGTCTCATGACCTTAAACACTATGTATAAATTTAAAGTCAATCGGATATTAACTTTAGCCTATAGAGCGTCCACAAGCAATTGTGGACGCTGGACGGGGGCGACAACAATATACGACCACATTTCAATGTGGGCGTATAAAAAGGCTGTATCCTGTGTCATAAAGTCACTATTACAGAAAATGTTAAAATTTGTCCCTCCAAAGTGTCCCCTTCCTTTATGCCTTCAAGAATTCTGATCTCATTGTCTTCACAAGCTTTTCAGGATAATAGGTAATACATATACATGTATAACTTTGGAACAAAAAATCCTAGAATGCGGATGCCAGAACTGAATGCTGAAATTCGATAGGGTTCATCCTTTCATAATCTGAATGTTTCACATCAAATTTGAAAAGGATAGGTAGCCAAGCAACAAAACATGCCCACATCAGCTAAGATTTCTGGGTAGTTGACGAGTGTTGTCACATATTTTTTTTTTTAAAAGGTATTTCAAGCATATAAAAGACCTACAAATGAAGAGTAACAACCTATTACATGTAAGTTATTATCAGAATAAATTAAAATTTGACCATCTTTTATCCTTGAATAACTTGACAAAGCTGGTAAGTGTTAACTATCAAGATGGGCATAAGTTGAAAAACAGAAAACTATCTAAAATGTTTACAGACAAAACCACTATGTATGGAATAAAAGTCGACCAGGACTAAAACCAGGTTTAAATTTTCATTTTCCAAGGGATTTTATAATGAATGCCATACCTTAATTTAGGGAGCCTATGCCCTTAATAGGAAGTCAATTTTTAAATTCTTGTTCTTTCTCATAAATTATATTATATTGTTATACATAGAAGAGTAATGTTTTTGGATATACATATATATATTACTATAATCGTAATAATTCATCATACTAAAAGCTTATATCGCGTTTATTTCACAAAGGTTTATATACTTCCAGTAAGTCCTATTCTATAATCTAAATACTTGTTAACATGACACAATCATATAAAAATAAACTACTTCAAGCTAAACTCTTGCAGTACACTTCAGTACTCTATCCTTTTTTTTTTTACAATAGCCTGAATAAAACTATTTAGATACAAGTTTAACCATAACATGTATTTGGCAATGCTATATTTAAAACCATAACATCCAGCAATTTAATTTTGTTATAATCACATTTCATCAGGATTTGATCAAATCCCAATTGTTTTTTCCCCTATTATCTTTTAGAGTAATATATATTTTAAAATTTCACCATGTTAACGAATAACACATCACTGTGATTCCATATCTGAATCATTTCCATTGCGATTTGTTTCATTGTCAAGAAAATCCTTCGGCACAGATGTGGTGTAGGTAAATTTCTCTAATGTTGGTTTTGGACCCTTGCCACGACATAGTGGCCCACTTGTTGCCTTCTTCTCATATGCAAAGACAATGTCTTGATCAGATGGCAGGGTCGATTTAAATGCTGGAATTTCATAAGCATTGGCAAGATATCTCCAAATATGACTGAATTCTTTTGGAATCTCAAAGCCTTTGTATGCCTGTAAAATTATAAAAAAACAAAATTATACATACAGTGCATGATATTTTTTTTTTTTGCAATATATTTGTTCAAAAACCTGTATTCGGAAGGTGTACATGCCTGCACTGTTTCTGAAAACAGTTCTAAATGTACATGATGTAAGCTTGAAACCCAAGTTTCATAAAGATATCTTTTGGAATGGTTTCTGAGATGTGCTGCTGAACCATAATTATATACCAAAAACTGTCAAATGTGTTACCAACACAATGGTCTGGAGGCCCCGTTGTTGGTGGGGGGTCCATCAAATGGGCACAAAACCAGACCCAACTTTTCTAGAGTAAAATTTGGGCACAAAACCAGACCCAACTTTTACAGAGTAAAATTTTGCATAGAATACGATGCCATGTGGTAATCAGTCCGCCGTAGGGGCGTTTTCAAGATATTCGGGCTCAAAGGTCAAATGGGTTCATTTGCATTGAAAGTCAATGCACAGTCATTCGTGTATCATAAAAATAAGCTGAAAATGAGCGAAAGTAATCACACTTTCAATAAAGATAGGTTGCCAGGCAATGAAACATACGCCCACAGCAGCTATATCGTCCGGGCAGTCAACAAGAGTTGTCACATATTTTTACTTTTTTCGGTAATGAAACATTTATAATCCATTAAAATCTGATTAAGAGTAACAATTCATTAAGTAATTATCAGAAAACCATTAGAATTTGTTTGGTTTTTATAAAGTTCTGCCCCATTGCTAATGTTTAGTATACAAAACATTTAATATCATGGATTTAGCTGTTCAAGTTATCAAAATTCATTGAAAATTAATACACTTCCCCAGGCTATTGTTTAGTATACAAAACTTTTAACATCATGGATTTAGCTGTTCAAGTCATAAAGATTCTTGAAAATCAATATACTTGTTCGTCTCAAGATCTTAAACACTGTGTATAAATTTAAAGTCAATCGGATATTAACTTTAGCCTCAAGAGCGTCCACAAGATTTTTCAAAATGATCAAGGGCCATAACTCTGGCAAAAATTATCAGAAATCGCTGAAAATCAATAGGCTTCTTTGTCTCATGGTCTTCAACACTGTATATAAATTCAAAGTCAATCGGATATTAACTTTAGCCTATAGAGCATCCACAAGAATTTTCAAAGTGATCAAGGGCCATAACTCTGGCAAAAATTATCAGAAATCGCTGAAAATCAATAGGCTTCTTCGTCTCATGACCTTAAACACTGTGTATCAATTTAAAGCCAATCAGATATTAACTTTAGCCTCTAGAGTGTCCACAAGATTTTTCAAAGTGATCAAGGGCCAGAACTCTGGCAGTAATTATCGGAAATCGCTGAATATCAATAGGCTTCTTCGTCTCATGACCTTAAAAACCGTGTATACATTTAAAGTCAATCGGATATTAACTTCAGCCTCTAAGAGCGGCCACAAGATTTTTCAAAGTGATCAAGGGCCATAACTCTGGAAGTAATTATCGGAAATCGCTGAAAATCAAAAGGCTTCTTCGTCTCATGACCTTATACACTGTGTATAAATTTAAAGTCAATCCGATATTAACTTTGACCTCTAGAATGTCCACAAGATTTTTTGAAGCGATCAAGGGCCATAACTGACAGTAATTATCGGAAATCGCTGATAATTAATTGGCTTCTTCGTCCCAAGACCTTAAACACTGTGTATAAATTTATGGTCAATCGGATATTAACTTTGGCTTCTAGAGCGTCCACAAGGTTTTTTGAAGTGATCAAGGGCCATAACTCTGGCAGTAATTATCGGAAATCGCTGAAAATCAACAGGTTTCTTCGTCTCATGACCCTAAATACTGTGTATAAATTTAAAGTCAATCGGATATTAACTTTAGCCTATAGAGCGTCCACAAGCAATTGTGGACCCCGGACTGACGGACGGACAGGGGCGACGACAATATACGACCACATTTCAATGTGGGCGTATAAAAACTAAAGCGAAACCTATTCAAATTAATAATAGGAACATTTAAAATTTATCTTTAGGTGGTCTTAGTACCAAACTTTTACTTTGAAACGTCGAAAATGATCTTGCATAACAGAATCAAAATGCTTCGGAACCTGTTTCAAAAATACGTAAAAACTGTTAAATCAAAATCTCTCCGAATTAGTTTTACAACGAATGCTATACATAATGATACTAGTCTGAAAAAAAAACAACAATTGAATAGTTTCATGGCTTGACTCCAGCCTGCAGGCCGCTTCACAAAGCTTGCCAAAATTTTCCCCGCTAACATTCACCAATACGACATAAATATCCTGTGAATATGTACAATGCATTTGTCGGTTTTATCTGCGTCCATGTTCCGGCGAAATTCATAAAAACTCATAAAAAATCTGCAAAATTTTAATCTAGTCATATACGTCTTTTCCCGTCACAGATTAACGTCGGTTTTCCAAGACTGGGATTCTCTGAAATCCATGCGACCTGCAGGCTGGAGTCCAACACTGAAACTATTCAATTGTTTTTCAGATAACTAGTATCATTATATATAACAATCGTTGTGAAAATAAATCGGAGAGATTTCGATTTGACAGTTTTTACATATTTTTGAAACCGGTTTCAAAGTGTGTTGGTTCTGTTATGCAAGATCATTTTCGACGTTCCAAAGTAAAAGTTTGGTGCTAAGACCCCCTAATTAATAACAATGTGTTGTGTTGTACTGTTCTCGTTAATAAAGTTAGAGTTTAAATATTGTTTTGTTTTTGCATTTAGTTCTCAAAGTCTGGTCCTCCCCCCCCCCCCACCAAAAATAAAAAATTTGCCTACCTACCTTCCCATACCCAATCATCATGAGTCGGGTTTGGGCAAACTGAAATATTTTTAACCCTGGCCTAATCAAAATTATTTTGTATTTGAAAATCCAATGACATGCTTTCAAATATTTATGTCAAAACTAATCTTATTATGGAGGCTTTTTTTTTAAAAATCAACCTGATTTCAACTGTTGAATACGTGACTTGTTAAAAGCGTGCAAGGTGGGGAAAAATGTCAAGATTGAATGAATCGATGAGGTACTAAAAATGTCCATACTGCTGTAAGTTTTAAACAGAAAATCTATTGTTATGATTGAGTTTTCTGTGGAATTGGAGAAACAAATGTGGGATGTTTTACAGTTTATTTATCTATATCACTAGATTAATTCACAAACCAGTAAAAGGGCACTAGCCAAGGACTAGTACGGCTAAATAGATCACTAGCCCGTAAGTTATTTTTGGTAGCCCCGGGCGTCGGGCTAGTGGATTTTTACAAGTAGGAACCATGCCTCAACCTTTTATGAGATATGCTCTGGAATATTAAAGATAGGTTGCCAGGCAACGTAACATACGCCCACAGGCGCTAAATCGTCCAGGCAGTCAACAAGAGTTGTCGCATATATTTACTTTTTTCGGTAGTGAAACATTTATAATACATTAGCCGAATGCTTCGCCCAATTCAACCTGTCGATTGCATCACCTTTCACGTCACATGATTAAACATGGCGGCGTCCATGTCTTCAATCTATCACGTGACTTCTCGTTATGAGTGATGATTGGCTAATGAATTCTATATTCGGCGGAATGCTTCGGCAAAGCGGACACACCAGGCGAATATAATTCGGCCGAATATATCAAACCGGACACACTAGACGAATTTCGATGCCGATTTATTCGGCCAAATCATTCGGCTATTGTGTCCACCGCTTAAGTAATTATCAGAAAACCATTAGAATTTGTTTGGTTTTTATAAAGTTCTGCCCCATGCTAACGTTTAGTATACGAAACTTTTAACATCATGGATTTAGCTTTTCAAGTCATAAAGATAGGTTGCCAGGCAACGAAACATACGCCCACAGCAGCTAAATCATCAGGGCAGTCAACAAGAGTTGTCGCATATTTTTACGGTAATGAAACAGTTATAATACATTAAATTCTGATTAAGACTAACAGCTCATTAAGTAATTATCAGAAAACCATTAGAATTTTTTTTGTTTTTATAAAATTCTGCCCCATGCTAACGTTTAGTATACGAAACTTTTAACATCCTGGATTTAGCTGTTCAAGTCATAAAAATTCATTGAAAATTAACATACTTGTTCGTCTCAAGACCATAAACTCTGTGTATCAATCTCTAGTCAATCGGATGATAACTTTAGCCTCTAGAGCAGTGCTTCTCAACCGGGGTCCATGTGCACCCCCAGGGGTGAATTCGAAATGCTCGGGGGTGAAATTTGGAAAAAGGGGGAATTGGGGGTGAATTTTGTGAATAGGGGGGAATTTGCATGAATTGAGTTTTCAGACTCCTGACCAGGAGACATCAGTCAGAATGTTACCGACCACAAACCCACGTAGCCATTGGTCGGAAACTAAATGACTGACTAGCACTAGCATAATTAATTTCGACGCGGAGTATAATGGAGCTTATCCTATCTCGCTGTACTGTTGATTGTCCGGGAGGGGGTAACCTAGTCTCAGGTTAGATCGTCGATCGCTTAGTTTCTTTTTACACCAAAACTCTGCACGGCCTGAATGGGGATTCCCAATTTAATTTCAATCACTTGTCTTTAGTATTGGTTGCTCAATTCTCAGTTTCTCAGTGTCAGTGTGACAATAAGCACTGTATTGTGCGATTGTGCATTATTACCTCTGTAATATCACACACCAAAGCTAGTGTCCTAGTGAATTAACATCATGGCTACGAAAGCGAAGGTGAAAGTTCGAAAATATTCAATTGATTATCTGAATTTTGGATTTATTGCGGCACCCCACGATGAACGATTACCCCTGTGGAAGACCCTTGTTCAAAAACACCAAGCACAAGGTGCTCACTTAATAAGGGTCATGACATCTCCATTGTGCTTTTAATGTGTAAATCCATGGCATCTGTTATTAAATATGTGTTTTAAACGATACCTAATTAGCATGTTTCAGTTTTTAGTTTTTAATAATTTGATGTTTTATAGTACCAGGGGTGAATAGCGAAGAAAATATT